ACCACTAGCGCTCACTTCATCTAGCAGTCAATGGAAACAAGTTTCAACGATTGGTCACACATTTCTATCACGTGATACTCATGTAATGGACTTATCATCGTAGTCAGCGGCGCGCCTAGAGGGGTGCGACTTCCCAGGCGTTGCTTCGTGATCCAAAACTGTCATAAAAGTGATCTCAACCTTGTTTGTGATTTTCCTTTTCAATGTGTTAAGAATATAATCAAAGTTTATGAAATGAGTGGCACAAAGTAAGGTAAAGCTGAAAATGGAACGCAACAAAACAACGAACGTGTTGGCAGGAAGCCTTCGTCAGCGAACAAACAACAGAAAAAAAAAACATTTAAAAAATAGCACATTTGATTGTTTTTTTCCTGTTGTTGTTTTTTTTTTGCTGACGAAGGCTTCCAGCCGCCACGTTCGTCATTTCGTTGCAATCCCTTTTCAGGTTTTACCTTATTTTGTTTCACTCATTTCATATTGTGATTACTTGATTGCAGTCTCTCCCTTTCTCAACCTAATCAAAGTTTACTCTTCTACTTTAGACGATTTGGTAACGAAGTGTTCAGAGGCCAGCCTAACCAGAAGAAGTAAGACAGGTCTGTGTGTGTGTGCTTTTGCTTGTTTGCTTTTCTGGGTGTGGGGGGGGGTGGGGGTGTCACTGCAAGTGTCAAATACATCAACTTGTTTTACTTACAGTGGGATCGGGATGTGCAACCTTTCAGCCAGGATTACTGTATAAATATATATTGAAACAATCCCCTAAAACTCGTCCGTTCTTTTTTTTTTTAAACAGCGGTTCTCAACCTGTGGGTTGCGAGTCCTTTGAGGGGTCGAAAGATCATTTCACAGGGGTCGCCTAAGACCATCGGAGAACACATATACTCTACAGTTATGAAGTAGCAACGAAAATAATTTTGTGGTTCGGGGGTCACCCCAGCATCAGCAACTGTACTATTCAAGTGTCGGGGCATTTTGGAAGGTTGAGAACCACTGTTTTAAAAGATTAAACTACCTTCAACACAGACTTTTAATTAGAATTGAATTGAGACATCAATTATTGTTTTCAGTCGTATGCGATTTGTATGTGAACTGATTCTTGCTGTTTATCGTAGGAGTGCGCAATATCTCAACGACCGCCCCGAAATAATTAATGGTATGCTTAAAAATTAGCTGCACTTTAATGATTTTACTCTTTAACCACCTTAAAATACTTCTAACCTTCTGATAGGAACATTTACCTTCTCATGATATGGCTAGTCTTATTGCAACACTAACCTTGTCATGCTACTTCTGACCTTATCATTGCAACACTTACCTTCTCATGATACTGTTAGACTTATCACTGTAACACCAACGTTCTTATGCTACTGCTAGCCTTATTATTGGGGCACTTCTCTTATTACATCGTCAAGGTTATTTGCTTACCTGACAGTTCGTTGATCATGAAGACAGTCAAAGAGACTTTGACAAGCCGCCAACAAAGGTAGTACTCCATGGTTTCCATGGTCTGGTGGTGGTCATACCGTGACTGTCTGGGGTAGTTACATAACTAGTTCAGCTATAATCTGGAGGGGGCCCGTAGTGTATCGATAAGACACATCTCTAACGAAAGTAGTATTGAGGTCAAAGAGTACTCAATGAGAGAAACTTCAAACTAAAATTATTTTGTTGACAACCATCAACTATCAGGAAAACACTTTTCATTTATCAAATTTCAACGGAGAATTTCCTTTTTGAACATTATGAAGCTAGATTTTCGCCCTACCACCCCCCAAACCCCCCCCCCCCCAATTTCGGGATTGCCATCTTTAATATTTGTTAGTTTACAGTAAAGGTGTGCTTTGACGCATACCAAGTGAATTAAACATTGACCCTCAGTTGTTGAGTCCATTTAACTAGCCATACAATTCAGTTATCAAGTCCAAATTCTTTTTAAAGGAATGACGATGTCGTTGTCCTACTTACAGAATATAAGTATCGCCCATTCTCAAATAGCACGTGAAAAAATCGATTACAGATTCGCCGTATAAAATATTAAATCCCGACACCGTGCTACGCTTGAAGTAGAGAAACAACCAGTCTCGACTCCTGATCCAGCGTTCACGGAGTTCGAGTGGAAATTGGCACGACGATACCATCGCCGGAATCAAAACTGCGGGAAACATGAAAATACTGGGCAAATGGTATAGAAATGGTGTGCAAATTGTATATAAATGGTCAAAAATGGTATAGATATGGTAAAGAATTAGTTTGATGATTGTGTTTTGTGAAAATCAGGATAAACATAATCGTAGGAGACATCAACACGTAAATCAATACACGGAATTGGAACGTAAACAGCTGCCACAAATCTCTTGGTGTGTGGGGTCTTGTGGTTTACATGGCACTACGATTGGGATGGAGGAAATGGTCATCAGATGAATAGCTCCAAAAAGGACAAAAGACCATCTCGACTCTCGTTACCTAGCCAATATGGCATATCGTAGGGTTGCAGTTTAAACCATCGGGTTTAAAATATCTCGTGCTGGACCAAGCCGTTATAATACATTTCTATGAGTCATTTATTAACCTTAAGATGGGAAGTTATTTGAAACAATATCAAAGTCTGAACAATAAAGAATTCGCTTGTTAAAAAAGAAAAGCATATAATTAAATGTCTCTTTATTTTGTATTTAATCATCAGGATGGATCAATGGTTGGTCGCAGCTACACGAGTCGTTCTATAAACACTGGTGGTAGATTAAGCTTCTGAAAGTTAAATACTCACTCCAGGTTCCCACTGAGAAAGAGATGACATTGAAATGTCCTTGCATGACGTCCTTGTCATGAGAGATGATCAAAGACGCTTAAATCCCACAACTGTTCGGAATGGGGAAACGAACGAAAATCATTTTTTCTGGCATAACTCAACTAGCAGGCTCTTTACCTTCACACTTTGAATACAAACTTTGAAGAAAAAGGGTTTGAAAACCAATTAAATGTAAAGACGCTTGGGCGATCGAGATTTCTTTTTATACATAAAGCTACTTTTAACAAACTCTTTGGCTTTACGGTGTTTGCCTCATGAGGTTTGGGACGTTATGGCAAGGGACGTTGCAGAGGTGACACAGACCTTGGTATCGACGTTTTCGTAATCAACAGGAGCACATCGGCTCTATGATCGGAGATCACTAGTTCTTAATCCAATCGTCGAGTATGTTGGGTTTTTAACGGGATCGTTCATTGGAAACAGAGGAATTATGCAACTAAGAAGAACATATATTTTAGTTTAATTTCGCACATCGGTGAGAATAATGACACGCCTGAAAATATGAATTACCGAACGCACTTATTTTAAGAGTCTGAGCTCTCCAACCACTAAATGACCAGGTCTCAGAGCCTCTAATCCAGCGGTTCTCAACCTGTGGGTCGTGACCCCTTTGGTGTCGAACGAGCTTTACAAGGGCGTCGCCCGTCGGAAAACACATATTTTTTGAAGTAGCCATTAAAATAATTTCACGGTTAAGGGTCACCATGAGGAAGGTTGAGAACCGCTGTTCTAATCGATCTGAAAGAAGAATTTTTTTTTTAATGAGTCGTATTAATATAACTCTATTTTTAAACCTGAGGACGCTTGTCAGTTTCCTCCATAAACTGAAGTAGATGGTCCCAATTTAAAAGACGTCATATTTAGCTCCAGAAAAAAGAAATGTTATGGTCTAAATCTTTTTTAATGTTTTTGGGGCAAACGTAGAGCCAACCGCCATTTTTTTATAGTTTAAAATGCTGCTTACATCTAAGCAACCTACGCATTTAACATTTGGAAATCCAATATTATTTTAATGAGATTGCTCTGCCTTGTGCCGTCCATAACTTCTCTGTGTGGAACGGCAGAATCTTGTTTCTGTGTTAATACATTTTCAATTCCAAATTGAAAACAAAAATACAGCATTAAATACATGTAGCACTTACATCAAAACTATGTATTTGTTACGAGTGACTCTAGTTTGTGTGCGACTAGATTTAGAAATTGTGCTCTTCGGTGTAGCGCACAACTTCCTAAATAAAATTGAAATTGTATTTTAACACCAAGTTGAATTAGAGTCGTGCCGAATCTTTTTTTTTTTACAGTCCTTTATACTAACTTCGCTTTTCCGTGTTTATGGCAAAATCGTCTGACGGCTGAGTGACCCGCTTCCCGTCAACCTATCGAGCTGAAACTTTGCACATAGACTCGATGTAGATGACATCCCATTCTTTCACTCTTTTTTTGCCCCAGTCCTGAACCCCAACTCCCAAAAATAAGTTTTTCGTATTTTTTAAAACTTGAACATGAAGGAAATATGATTACACTGGTTTAATAAAATAAAATTCCCGACAACTGCGCTGTATGTGATTCTTTTTTTTTTATTTCGCAAGTGCGTTTTTTGCATAATATTTTCTTGTGTTTTCTGAAATATTTAGTGAACAAAATCTCCGGTAAATAATAATATAATTCAGGGGCGTGATAAAATGTGCGATAGTGAGCCTTGGAGGGGGAGGGGGGAGGGGTAGCGCTATTTGGGACTCTTAAAAGGGGCGTTGCCTGAATGCATGTGTTGTTGAATTTTAAGCCCCAACCCCACCCCACCCCACGAGCTCAATATTACACTTTATGCAGGTGTTATACGAAAGACTTTGCTTTTCGAGATTGTTTAATTTCGTGATGGTTTACAACTTGAAGTGATTTTGCAAACACCATAGCTATATTAAAGCCGGTTCAGCTGATACATTGAGTTACTGTCCTTGCAAAGTTGTGTGGAATTAACTAACAACACTTTGCTAATTTACTAACCATGTCGCAAGAGCGACAAACTAATGGTGTAATAAGCTATGTTTAGTGTAACAAGATGTGTTTAGTCTACAATTATGACACTAATTGAACAACGCTGACACTTTTAGGACATGCATCCCAGGACAACTTCTTAAAATTCAATCAACAAACATTTCGGACAACATTGAAAGATATTTATTTACAGATTTCAGCTTTCTGACACCTTTAGCAAAATAGTCTTTTCTCTATCACCTTTGGTCAAGTGATTGTCAGAGCCAGAGGTAAGACAACTAGAGCGTAATAAGTTGTACGAAATAAAATAAATAAATGAAAGAGCTAAAGAGAAGTATAATAACTCTAAGATGTTGCTTCAAAGTATTAACAATGACAATAAACAACAGAAGAGAAGTAACTAGAAATCAACAAAGTTAAAATATTATGAACGGTATAAAGATATGATTTATGATTTATAATATAAAGACTCTCTCGTGAATGTTAATTTGAACAAAATACAATCATGAAAATGTCAATGAACGAGATGAATTGAAGAGTACTACTTCGAAAGTACTCTAGTTAAAAAAACGTTCATTTTAAGATAATACAATTTAAAAATGAAAACTGAAAATCCAATCAAGGCACTTTTAAGAAAAGGGACTTATGTTAACTATTACGACCAAAACCCGAATTTTGACCCAATCAAGAACTGGCCGGCCATATCGGAAATTGGGCGATGCCGCTGTAAGACGACTGGTCACAAGTATTTCCTCGATTTTGCAATTTTGATGGTAAGTTAGCGCATCGTCTTGGCGATGGGGGTCAGGGTGTCAGCAACTTTCATCAGAGGCGTTCATCCAGGTTCATAGGAGGTGATTAGCCAGGTCCATAGGAGGTGATTTGCCAGGTCCATAGGAGGTGATTTGCCAGGTCCATAGGATGTGATTTGCCAGGTTCATAGGAGGTGATTAGCCACGTTTATAGGAGATGATTAGCCATGTTCTGTTCCTAGTTGTTATTTGAGAACACCATCATCTATTCCTATGCGTTTTTTTTTTTGAGAACTTGGTTTTTTCTTCCTAGGTTTTATTTTAGAACTCCGTATTATGTTCTTAGGTGTTATTTGAGAATACCGGTTTCTGTTCCCAGGTGTTGTTTGAGAACACCATGATCTGTTACCAGATCAATGACAATGATTTAATTTCTTTGGGTTGGGAGACAAAATAAACTAATGTTGTCATCATCAAAACTCATGTTTCTGATCTATCGCTCTCCCCCTGTCTCTCTCTCTGTCTTTCTGTCTCCCCCCCCCTCTCTCTCTCTCTCTATCCATCTGTCTCCCTCTCTCCCTTTCACTCTCGTTCTCACCCTCCCTCTCTCTCTCTCTCCTCTCAATCTTAAATCCACTATATTTTTTTCAAGACTCCATCTGCTAATACATTAAAGGATGCCTATTCCTCGGTGATGATGACACCAAGCTCTGTTATGTTACAAAGAAAGTCCTCCTCGTTGGCCGCTCTGAACGTGAAACGCTTGAAAATCTCATCTCCGTCCGGTTTAGCGACTTCCACGAAACACTCTTCGACGTCCTTCAGATCCTTGAACGACGCAAACACATGTCGCACGAGCAACGACTCTCGAAATTTTCGGCTCTTGTCCAGATCCTCTCTCAGCTGAGTTGATTTTGTAGCCGTGAAGTCGCGGTGCGCATTTAAGATAACCTTTTGCTCCTCGACATGTTTCCGCATGTCACGTATGAGCGAGCTCTCCCGTTCGTCCAGGTAGGCCCGGTAGTCCCTGAATTTGGATTGGATTTCTTCAAGAAGGTTCTCTTCAGTTTCCGCCATGGTTTCAAGCTCGGCATCGTATTTGCGTGTCTTCGTCGCCAAGGCGTCCAGCGTTTGATTGGTCGCTTCTTCGGTGTCATCGAACTGCTTGGAGTGTTCAGAAAGCGCGGTGCTTATGCTGACGATTTCATGGCCGCCTTTATGTTCAAGGACGGTGCAGTCGCGGCAGACTGCCGTACGACATTTCTTGCAGAAAAAATTTAAATGTTCATTTTCGTGCTTAAGACACCCGTTTTGAACGTCCTTGAACTTTTGGCTCAAATACTCCATGATCTGGCCGACTCTGTGGTCAACAGGGAAATCTTCAACCCTGGTTCCATTGGGAAATTCTCTTCGGCAAGATGGACATTTGGGGTAGCTGTCGACATCAGCAATGTTTTGCAGACAGCTCTGGCAGAACGTGTGGAGGCAAGACAATGTCTTAGGGGCTCTAATGCGCAGATCGTATTTTTCGAAGCAGACGGAACAATGTAGTAAATCTTTTTCAAGCTCCAGGGTTCGAGAGTAGGATGTATGTTGATTGAGAGACGTTAGGGAATCCATGACTTCAAATCTGCACTGGAATCGGATGATTTGATCTGCTTGTGTCACTGGCAAGGTAGTGTATTCTGTGATGTTGTCTACTGAAAGTAGAATCGAAAATTATAATATTGAATTTAAGTTTTTTTGTGTGCACATTTACAAGGTCCCAAATTTTAAAACAGTTCTAGAAAATAATATTTACTAAGTCATTTATAATTATCAAGTTATGGTATGAAATGCTGGATGGCCGAGCGGTCTAAACTGTCTCAAACCAAATAGCTGGTGGTCTGGAGTTCAATCCCCACCTAAGCCAACATCCCAAGCACTCCGAGTGGATGGGACTCGTTAGCCTTGGACGGCAACCCATCTAATGGAAGTAAAACTCTGAATTTTAAAACCAGGACCCAGAATGATCAACAAATTGATCGTGGGCTCTTCAAATATAAGAAAAGAAAAAATTAGTGGGTGTTTAAAAGTGGTTTTGCTGGTCATAATATTAAAAAAAGTCATTCTTTGTTAGCTGTTGGAGGTTAATGCAAGCGTTAGGTTAGAGGATGTAAATGCCCAACTTCCCCACAAGAACTATAGATAGTTGATTCTGAATTCTACATTTGCATATAACGTTTCTATGATTAAATTAGCTCACCGCAAACGACATTTAGAGTGATATACTGGGTCTATGATTCAAAACAATCATTTTTGAAATTTCTCTGACTACTAAAACATGTATTCTGTACAATTTTAGAGATCTCAATGTACACTGTACAATCTTAGAGATCTCAATTAATACCCTATAGCATGAGATATTTTAAATTACGCTGTATAATCTTAGAGATGTCAATGTACACTGTATACTCTTTCAGATGTCAATGTAAACTGTATAATCTTAGACCTCTCCTGGTGCCCCCAGCTTAATACCTTCCTAAGAGCATTTCCAATTAAGTCTATGCGATATCTTGATGTGATCAATCCCACAATGCAGTTTAAATAGATCTGGTAGACTTTGAACCCCAGCGTATGTGCAGAGAGAGAGTGAGACCAGGGATAAAAGGAATCTGGTCGTAGGCCGCTCGTGGAACTATTGGAGACCTGTCCCGGGCAACCGTTTGAAAATAAAATCAAATTGACCTAACCACGTTATTCATCTCAGAGCTGAATGCTATATTGAAACATAAAATAATGTAGGTCGTTGCATTGCGCCATCGACCAGATCACGGTATTCTAATCGTGCATGTACTAGCAAGCTTAGTCTGGGTAGCTTCGTCCTCATAAAGGTGGAAGGTCATCGTGTATAGAGCAGAATAAACTTTTTATAAGGATGTAGAACTCTAAGCAAAGGAGAAAGCAAACATCGCTCCCATTCGTATGTCAAACATTGGCGTCAGCTGGTCGATAGCTGAATCACTATTTATTTATTTGCATTGAAGTCTTCGTTTGGGTGGAAGAGCCATCCACTATCACAGGATCACAAAGTTGAAATCCTATATGCAACATCACAAAATTGAAGTCCTATATGTCAAAATCACAAAGTTGAATTCCTATAGAGCAGGATCCCAAAATTGAAGTCCTATATATCAAGATCACAAAGCTGAAGTCCTATATTGCAGGATCACAAAGTTTAAATCCTATAAATGCACTGGTAGTAAAAGTAGAATAATGTTTGAATTCATGACCGTCTGTTTTCAATATTTTGTGGAAATGGCACACTTCTATAAAATAGTTAAAACATTTCTTACCAATCTTTGAAGCTCCATCACATACATTTACAATGAAAAAATCAAAATTGAAGTCAAAGTCAGAGTCACCCTCACGGCAACACTCAGCCATGATGACCGTAACTGGCAAATTCACAAGTATCGGTAAATTCATGGTTTTACGTGAAGTTATCGTCACAATTATAGGTAAACTCAGTATCAAAGTTACAGGTAATGGCACTGTTGCAGGTAATGGCACGGTCACATTTATAGGTAAAGTCAGTGAACAAGAAGATGATGTGATGTTGATGTGCCACATATAATAAAAAGGTATCGTTCTGGACCCAATAACTTCAGCTATGGGCCTAATAATCACGGCACTAGACCCAAAAACTCCAGCTACGAACCGAATAAGTCCAGCTATGGACCCAATAACTTCAGCTATGGGCCTAATAATCACGGCACTAGACCCAAAAACTCCAGCTACGAACCGAATAAGTCCAGCTATGGACCCAATATCTCCAGCTACGAACCAAATAAGTCCAGCTATGCACTCATTAACTCCAGCTCTTGGCCCAGTAATTCCAACACTTTGCCCAGTAACTCCAGCACTTGGTCCATTAACTCCAACCCGGTGCCACATAGCCCCGCGAAACCAACGTTGCTTCGATAGCGAAGGCAATGTTTGAAAAGGTTTAACTTAGAGAATAGCAGACACCATTAAACCAAGTATAATGAATTCCCCTTTATTCATCTTTAAAGTGTAAAAATCTGGTAGAGAATTGTAATGTGCTGTATTGTGGGGTCTTCCTTCAAGCCGCGTAAAGTAAATAATATTATGTTTAGGCTTGTGCTGTTTTGGCGTCTAAATATGGCTTGCTTAATTATTTCGAAAATGTAAGACTTATATGTTTGTAAACATCTTACTTTTTAATCCAACGTTCATAACCAATTATTTTTTTTTAAATATAATAAAGATATCTTACCTTTCAGCGCTATTGAGATATCGTAATGTGTAGGAAATCTTTCACTCCCGTTTCAATCCTTCCACCGCCTGGTCTAACAATATCATAACCAGGTGTATGCCTTGTGAGCTAATGCTGTCTGGAAATTCCCCATTTTTTTCATTACGTGGAAAGCGATTGGTTTCAGTTTCATGAACTGCTCAAGGTTTCGGTATGGCTTAGGCCTGAGCAGGTTGATAAATGCACAGCGTCGGATACAGAGAAAAAAATTAGGGAATGGAAGTTATACTATTTTTTTTTTATTAAATAGCTTAGAACAGAATAGCTTTCTTTAAAATCGAGAATTTCTGTAACTGTTTGTCTGTGTTGCCATACCATTTGTCCCTCCTATATATATCTAAGTATTATACTTAGAAAAAAACAAACAACAACACTTGACTGAATGCCTTTCCCCAAAACCAGTTGACCCTTGTATCCTCTCAGATCAATACATATTTAAATATATGGGTAAACAATAATTATAGAGTTTGAAGCGGGTTTTTGCGGTATTACATTCACCATTGGCGTACCTAGGGTAGGAAGGGGGGGGGGGGCGGAACCCCCTGTTTGGCACTTTTGTTGATGTTTATTACCAACATTATATGTAATAGAGAAGCGCTTTTGGGGGGCAATTGTCCCCGTACGGCATTTAATCAAGGTACGCCTCTGGATATCTGAAAAAAAAAGGAAAGAAAATGGATAATTTCGTATTTCTCCTATTAAATTCAACATGACCTGGTTCACTAAAAGCCGGATGATTAGGTCAACATGACCTGTTTCACTAAAAGCCGGATGATTAGGTCAACATGACCATGGCTAACTCTCAACTGGTGCATGGATGACTATGTCAACATGACCTTGGTTCACACTAAACTGCTGTATAGATGACTACGTGCTATAATTAACCAACTTACCAATGTATGACATATACTTCTACCAACTTACCAATGTATGACATATACTTCTACCAACTTACCAATGTATGACATATACTTCTACCAACTTAACGATGTATGAAAGATGCTCCTACCAACTTACCAATGTATGACATATACTTCTACCAACTTACCGATGTATGAAAGATGCTCCTACCAACTTACCAATGTATGACATATACTTCTACCAACTTACCAATGTATGACATATACTTCTACCAGCTTACCAATGTATGACATATACTTCTACCAACTTACTGATGTATGACATATACTTCTACCAATTTACCAATGTATGACATATACTTCTACCAACTTACCAATGTTTGACATATACTTCTACCAACTTACCAATGTTTGACATATACTTCTACCAACTTACCAATGTTTGACATATACTTTAACCAACTTACCAATGTATGACATTTACTTCTACCAACTTACCAATGTATGACATATACTTCTATCAATTTACTAATGTATGACATATACTTCTACCAACTTACAGATGTATGACATACTTCTACTTACTTACCAATTTATGACATATACTTCTACCAACTTAGCGATTTATGACATATACTTCTACCAACTTACCAAGGTATGGCATATACTTCTACCAACTTACCGATTTATGACATATACTTCTACCAACTAGCTGATTTATGACATATGCATCTACCAACTAACCGATGTATGACATATACTTCTACCAACTTACCAATGTATGACATATACTTCTACCAACTTACTGATGTATGACATTTACTTCTACCAACTTACCTATGTATGACATATACTTCTACAACTAGCTGATATATGACATATGCATCTACCAACTTACTGATGTATGACATATACTCAACCAACTTACTGATATATGACATATACTTCTAACAACTTACCGATGTAAAACAATAACTTAAGTGTGAGTAGAGACCAACCGAAAGTGATTTTCTGATTTCGGCCAAAGCCAAAAATGGGCCGAAAGTTTAAAAATGACTTCCGGCCGAAATCGAAAAAAGGCCGAAAGTTAAAAATGACTTTCGGCCGAAACCGAAGCCGAAACCGAAAATGAAATTTTAGATATTTTGAAATTCGTTCCCGAATACATTCTGCTTACATCGAAAATGATTCTTTTTATAAAAAATAAGATAATCGTGAATATTAATAAATAAACATCTGATATAGGGGTCTCAAACTCGCGGCCCGCGAGCCATTTGTGACCCGCAAGACGATATTTTGCGGCCCGCTACATGACAGAAAAGTTTAATGTTAATGCGCCGGCCCGTTTCCCCCATTCTCATATCTATAACGTGACTCTCCGCGACGGTTTCAGTCGAATCTCACCGACTAATCTAATTCTGTTTTTTTAAAATGTTTCTATATATTTTGGTTTGATAATTATAATGGTAAGAACCGTTTTAAAATCGGAATAAAAGTTTTTATTTTATTGCTTTTTATGAGACAAACATGGCAAAGAGTGCGGTTTTGAGATATGTTTTTAAAAGTAAGTTGGCGGGTAATGCATAACCATAATTATGTAAATCATAGCAATCTGATACATTATCACAGGATCCATATTAAAATTGTCGCTAGTGTTTACGAGTGAGGTAAATTCCGAGCCTGTCAGCTTGGTCAATTTCAAAATCTTCTTCTTGTGCCTTTTTACCCAGTCTGGGTCTCTACATTTTTTAGACTTAAAAAAAGAGAGCCACTTTTCAGCTTTTTGCTGACCCTTTCTCCTTTAGTGTGGAAGTTCCCCGCTCAAATCGAAACTTGACCGGAAGGGATAAAATGGCCACTTTCGCCGCCGAAACCGAAGCCGAAACTCGGTCAGTCTCTATATGAGATTCATCAAAAGATATTAAAAAAATAAACCCTTCATATTTACTATTACATAGTGTTCGTTTTTTTGTCTTTGTATTTAATAAAAAGATAGAAGTAAATGGAAATTGTAATGCATGTATAGCTATTCCCAGTGTATTTCACCATATTTTTAGAATCAGTGCTTTGAAAAGACGTTTTTATGTAACGGCAACAAAATCTGCACTATCTTTTTTTTTTTTGGTTTTTCAAGCCAAAAAAAAAAATAATTCAAATTTAACATCTCTTGATTGGAAGCAAACAAAACATTTTCAACAGTGTTTATTTTTTTAAATGTTCAAGCTAATGTCAATTAATGTTACGTTTACGTTTAGAAATGTTTGTTTAAAAGACGTTTTTATGTAACGGCAACAAAATCTGCACTATCTTTTTTTTTTTTGGTTTTTCAAGCAAAAAAAAAAAATAATTCAAATTTAACATCTCTTCATTGGAAGCAAACAAAACATTGTCAACAGTGTTTATTTCTTAAAATGTTCAAGCTAATGTCAATTAATGTTACGTATACGTTTCGAAATGTTTGTTCATGTTAAAAATCGTAAAGTTTAAATATATTGCTGAATTGGAACAAAATTTGTTTTACAGTACATGCAAGAGTTGTTTGATTTCTGTGTTGTTTTTTAAAGTAAGCCATCAGTTCATTCATTTGTCACATATCTGAAGAAATCTATCGCTGTTTAAAGTTCCAAATAACAATTGCAATAAGCTGTATTTTTATAAATTTTAAAAATATTCAACTAAGTCAAAGTGTTAGTGGCCCCCTGTGGAGGTGGGGGAGGCCTCGAATTTAACAGACCCCTTTGAATGAAGAAAAAAAAAACGTCAGCAGTTGGCCGAAAATTCTGCACCCAAAATATAGATACAAAAAGTACCACCCGGGGAGAATTCCTCCCTGAGCTCCCCATTTCCCAGCCCCCTACTTATTTTATCTTACAATGAACACATCGTTTCTTATTGCGGCATTATCAGCCAACTGATTTTAAAAAGAAAAAATATGTTTGAAACGGTCTATATAACATTCTATTGACTGTTTATTGATTTAAAATTGTTTTAAATTAAGAAGCCTTATAATTTTTCAAATCATATTAAGTGTTAAGAGGCATAACTAGATCTCATAACTGAATTGAACCATTACCGGATTAACTCCCGTGGTAGACTCTCGCTAAGCTAAAATAGGATATCGGAGTCGAGGCTATTCACAGCTCTTCAAAGAATATTATATTATTCATGAGGGGGAATTAGAACTGGACGCTCGGCTCATGTTTACGTAGGTTAGTTTAATTTATGGTAATACAAAGTGTTAAATACTTGTGTTTATGTTTTTTAAAAACAAAGGTCCCTACTTTTACTTTAGATTAGTACGGCCACTAGGTCTATGTCTAGGGTATGACTATATATTTCCTCATTTAGTACTGTAAATTAATCGCACTCCATACTCACACTAACATTCAATGACACTCTCACTAGCTCTCACTTCTATTAATACTATAACTATACTAATTAAACAAAGGTGGTTCAGCCCACAAAAAAAAATATTTAATTATAAACAAAATTATCTACATACACATTACATATACTATACACATATAAAGGATAACGAGATATACTGCCCAATATTATTAATTATTATGTTCCGACTGGCGATCTCATCCATTAGGTGGGTCCAACACACAACCACAGCTGCCTTATTGGTTTGGCTTCCCTCTCTGGTCTCAGGTCACTTTCACTGCGATGTGGTAGGTGTAGACTAACACTGCAACGGTAGGCCCATACACACACACACACATCCCTCTTGCTGGTCACTGGTCACTCCGCCGTATAGTTTATCTAATAGGCCGAATGGCTCAACTATACTGAGTGGTCTATACTCTACGTTATACTATACCGACTGTACTAAGTTGTACTGTACTGAACTGTATCAACTCAACTGTACTGACTCTAAATTAGCTCCAAAGACAATTTTGTATCATTTCAAAATCAAGAGTTGTATTTTTGAGTATACTTGAATTCGATGTTTCTATTATACCTTTTGAACAGGGAAAACCATTTTTAAAGTTTTGTGGGAGGCATTATTTAGCCCAGTGCCATATATAAACTGAATTCACTTCTGATAGGCGTATAATCAACCCCATAGTGTACCATTGATCAGCGTGATGGAAGGGGTGCATAATGAAGGGAGCTATAGACAGTCGTACACACGCAAAATGCAGGGTTGCATTATTTTGTCGCATACTTGAATTTGTTGTTTCTTTCAGACAATTTTGAGATGGCATTT